TTTTTTTATTGTGGTAAAATATACATAACATAAAAGTTACCATTTTAACCATTTTTAAGCGTGCAGTTCAGCGGCATTAAGCACATTCACAGTGTTGCACGGCCATCACCACCGCCCACCTCCAGAACTTTTTCTTCTTCCCGAATCGAAACTCTGTCCCCTTAAACACTAACTCCTTGCTCCCCTCCCCCCCAGCCCGTGGCAACCACAATTCTACTTTCTGTCTCTATGAATTTGATGACTCTAGGTACCTCGTATAAGAAGAATCATACAGTATTTGTCCTTTCGTGATTGGTTTATTTCCTTTAGCATAATGTCTTCAAGGTTCATCCATATTGAAACGTGTCAGAATCTCCTTACTTTTTAAGGCGGAATAATACTTCGTTGTCTGTATACACCACATTTTCTTTGTCCGTTCATTCATCTCTGGACACTTGGGTTGCTTCCACCTTTTGCCTATTATGCAAGCATTTTCTTTTAATGAGGCATTTCTTACGGGGGATCAAATGTAATTCATTGGCTGGGCGTGGTGGCTTAGTCTTGTAATCCTAGCACTCTGGGAGGCTGAGGCGGGAGGATCACCTGAGGTCAGGAGTTCCAGACCAGCCTGAGCAAGAATGAGACCCTGTCTCTACTAGAAATAGAAAAAAATTAGCTGGACAACTAAAAATAGAAAAAAAAATTAGCCAGGCGTGATGGTATGCGCTTGTAGTCCCAGCTACTTGGGAGGCTGAGACAGGAGGATGGCTTGAGCCCAGGAGTTTGAGGCTGCAGTAAGCTATGATGACTCCACGGCACCCTAGCCCAGGCAACATAGCGAGACTCTGTCTCAAAAAAAAAAAAAAAAGAAGTAATTCAGTGTCATGTTCCATTGCATGAAGCTTTCTGCCTGGCAGTGACTTGGGAAGCCTCCTTTTGTTGGCTGTTGGTTTCTCATCTGTGAACAGGGAGTGAGAATTCCTACTTGGTAACATTACTGTGATTATTAATGAGTTGATCTCTGTGGAGCTCTTAGAACAGTGCTTTGTGCGTGATAACCACTAAATAAAAGGTAACTATAAGTATTAATGTTATTATTGATAAAAAGAAAAAGGATTTGTTTTTTGGTGGGAGTGAGGGACCAAAACATTTTCTCTTTCAAAATTCCTCCAGGGAGGTTTTGAATTATTACCAACAGCCTCACACTGCTGATCAGAGTTTTTGCAACCTCATGTATTTTTATTAATAGACATAATTTAATCATCAGCTGCTTTGCAAATAAGCTATCACCCATATGAAATACACCAAACCCCAACCAGACACTACTGACATTTGTCTGCACAATGATTTGTTTTCTAGTTGGTGACGATCTCACGTGGCGTTTTTCTAAGATAATAAAAGAAGTTGATACAATGAAGATAAACATATAGAAACCAATTTCACCTTTCAACAGTTTGCCCTGGCTAGAGGATTTGAAATGCTCCCTTTAAATATTTAACTGTTATTAGTTGAGCTCAGCCTGATTCCCCTTGGCAAGAGGCATTTCTGGAAAATTCCATGCCCCCATCCTCACGTGTGCTGCAAGGCAATTATTTCTTTAGCAGTCATAGGAATCCACTATGTAAGGCCAGGTCTACATGGCTCCCTGTGCGGACAGTGGCTTGGGGCTGTGTAGACAGCCTCATCTGTTCGCTATGATCCTAGACTTCCATGAGGGTCACACCTCAAACCTTGTAACTTGCCCTGGGGCTTGTCCCTGCAGGAGCAGGTTCGAAGAGGCTCTGAGGTATCTCCAGGTCATGTGGAGCACTGCTAGCAGCGGGGCTGGGACTTCTCTGGATAGAAGTGGGTGACCACAGAGTGGTGTGCTAATTTTGAGGTCTGATTCCTCAGAAAGCCAGGGTCCTGGGAACCTCCAGGTAAACAATCCCTCAACTACACCAAATTACCCCGTTGAATTTTAGGGGGAAAACTCTTAATGTGGGGGGAAAATACACAAACATGCCTTTTGGGGGTAGGGTGTATGGGGGCAAGGTCGCTGCTATAGAAAGTGCTTATTCTGAGGTCGTGGGAACTGGAGTCTGGCAGGTGAAATGATACTAGACGCGTTACATAAACGTAGCACAAATAGCATTGACTCACGCAACGAGAAAGTCATTCCTTCTTCATTCCTGGTGATGCTGTCAAGGGTGCTGAATGGCTGCCTCACCTCTCTAACACCTGCCAATCTCCCTTTTAGACAGGAGAGAGCCGCCTCAGGCTAAGAACTTTGGGCAGGCAATGGTATCCGGCCAGAGTTCAAATAACATGGTTTTTCCTTTTGTCTTGTTTCATGCATTTTTTTTTTTGCATTTATGGTAAATGATGCTGATTTTCCACCGAAAATAGTGATGTAAAGTTTCATTTTTAAAATAAATGCACTTAATTTTTTTTTTAAGTGAACTGATTTACAGAAAAGCTTAAGCTAATTATGTTAGGAGTGGTGTGGCGATCTGGGAAAAACGCTGAGGGCGGTAGGGGAAAGTCTGACTTGTGGGAAACAGCGGCACAGACCTGCATGTTTCAAATACGACTGCATGTGCGGTGATCGCCAGGTCACCTGGACAGTTTGTTGAAATGCGGATTCTGGTCGAGCAAGTGTGGAGTGAGCCTGAGAGATGCCTGCGCTGTGGCAGGGAGTGGCGGGAGTGTAGGACTAGGGTG